CGGTCACTAGCTGACTATAACCAGGATTCCCAGCGCACGGTCACTAGCTGACTATAACCAGGATTTCCAGCACACTGTCACTAGCTGACACTAACCAGGATTCCCGCAGCACAGTCGCTGAGAGAAGCCGGGGCCACTATCTGCATCTTTCACTCGAGGAAGTATACCAAGGTTTTGGTTTGACTGCCTGTGAAGTCGAATAATATTTTCGCATCTGTCTGTAGTCCGAACTCCATCGTTGTTTTTTGTGAAAAGGGAGTTTAGGGTGAGGCACATCAGAATGATGGAGTAATAACTCAGTTTTGCTTGTATGGTTGACACATCGCGATAAGGAAGTGTGACTGTCGTTTTCAGGGAAATCTTGAAGAAGAAATTGGAAATTTCCCTTTTTGCACATTCAGGAACTCCTGGCTCCTGACCCACTCCCACAGTTTCCCACAGAAACGCGAGTGGGAAGAGCTGTGGGGGCTGTCTTAGTGCTGACGATATTAAGAGAAAAGCAGAAGGCGGCAGAATTATCATTTCACAACTCCAGGCTGTTTACTCATTGTTCAAAAGGAAGTAGAGTTGGCTTTGAGGAGAATTGAAGTAAATCTAACAGTGCCTTCCAGATGTATTCATACCTCAGAAAAAAAAAGAAGCACATATAAGTCATATAACTTAATGGGTTAAAAATTGCATAGGTGTTGTGCTTAAAAATGCTACACTGTACTATCACTGTAATATTGCAAAGAATAGTCATTAGTTATAGATAATTGATTTCCAGGAAACAGGAGGTTCATCTTGATTCACACAACTAAATATTCCTTTAAATTCCAACAGAAATAATCCACAAAAATGTTGACATTTGAATACTGACAGAACTTTGTTCTGAGTTTTATTTTTTTATTTTTTGGTAGTTGCTTATCTTTAGGGTGTAGCAATCAAGCATAATGAGGAAAAATGTTCATGTTCTGTGCAGCTCCAGAAACAATGGGAATTATACGTGCTTTCCAAACACGAATGTTATAAACCATTGCTTATAAATAGGTCATTAAGAGTTAGAGTATAATAAACTGATGATAAACCCTGCATTTTTAAAACAAACAATTGGGAAATATTGAGCCGTGTTCTTGGGGTTCGCTGTCCTGTAACGTGGCTGTGTCTCCCCCTGCAGGACCCTAGTAAAGAGTGTTTCACGCTGAAATTTGACCTGAACGTGGACATCGACATGGAGATCGTGCCCGCCATGAAGAAGAAGTCCCTACGGTGAGGGCAGAAGGAGGAGGGGTGGTCTCTGTGGGTAGGAGGGCAATGCATTGCCATTTCAGTAGAGTTAAGACCTTGGAGGTGGATTCTGAATTCAACACTGCAAGGTAGAACGCAATATAAAATGATTTTCCAAGTCTCCCATTATATACTCATATAAAGATCCCTGCCACATTACAGTGAGCGGAATCCACCGAGATAGAGAATTCATCTTCGAAACTGCCAAAACACCAGGCACAAAGCGGAGTGTGCACAAGCCACCCCTGTGTGTTGCAGCTCGGCCCTGTCCAGGCTGTGGGAAAAGCGTGTTGCTCCCCGTCGCGTGGCAGGGGTCGGTACGAACGCGTTTATCCACGGAAAAAGGGCGCAGCAGCCCCTGCGCGGGAGCGAGTGTGTGTGCCGAGCCGCGTCTCTCTAACCCGGCCCGTTGTCGCGCTCTCGCAGTGAGGTGCTGGCCCCGGTGTTCGAGAGGAAGGCGATCGAGCTGTCCAGGGTCGACCTGTTCCTGGACCAGTCCAACACGCCACTCTCCCTCAGCTTCGAGGCCTACCGCTTCGGGGGGCACTACCTCAAAGTGAAAGGTAATCATAAGAATAATAATAATAATAATTGCTTACACTTATATAGCGCTTTTCTGGACACTCAAAGTGCTTTACAGGTAATGGGGATCCCCTCCACCACCACCAGTGTGCAGCCCCACCTGGATGATGCGACGGCAGCCAGAGTGCGCCAGAACGCTCCCCACACACCAGCTCTCAGTGGGGAGGAGAGCAGAGTAATGAAGCCAGTTCAGAGATGGGGATTATTAGGAGGCCATGATTGGTAAAGGCCAGGGGGAAATTTGGACAGGATGCCGGGGTTACAACCCTACTCTTTTTAATTTTTTTAAATAAATCAATGACCACAGAGAGTCAGGACCTCGGTTTTACAGCTCATCCGAAGGACGGTGCCTTTTTACAATAAAGTGTCCCTGTCACTATACTGGGGCATTAGGACCCACACAGACCGCAGGGTGAGCGCCCCCTGCTGGTCCCACTAACACCTCCAGCAGCAGCCTCAGCTTTCCCAGGAGGTCTCCCATCCAGGTACTGACCAGGCTCACACCTGCTGAGCTTCCCCCTGCGCTCTTTGTGGGTCCTAATGCCCCAGTATAATGACTGGGACACTATTGTGTTAAAAAAGGTGCTGTCCTTCACATGAGACGTAAAACCGAGGTCCTGACTCTCCGTGGATGTTAAAAATCATTAAAAAAACATTAGAAATTTTCTTGAAAAGAGTAGGGGTGTTACCCCCGGCATCCTGGTCAAATTTCCCATTGGTCTTTACCAATCACAGCCTCCCAATAATCCCCAACTCTGTTTCCTCACTTCCTCACTCTGTTCTCCTCCGCACTGAGAGCTGATGTGTGGGGAGCGAACTGGTGCACTTTGTAGGGCTGCACACTGGTGGAGGGGATCCCCATCACCTGTAAAGTGCTCCAGGAGTCTCCAGAAAAGCGCTATAAGGTGCTTGACCTTGAATCAGCCTGACTGATGCCATCTCGTCCGTTTGTGAGCTCTGGTCTCTGCTCTCTGAAAGCGAGTGGTGGAGCTCTCTGGGCTCTCAGGCCTGTGCAGCAGTGCGATGCCCAGAGTTGTTTAATTCTGTTGTAAGAGAGAGCTGCCTGATGAGACACTGCTTGTTTTTTCCCTGTGGGAAAAGGAGGAAGGCAGGAGCAGGGAAGTGGGCTGCAAAGGCAAATATTTGGCATGTTACGACAAAAGGCTTTTTTTTCCTGAAAAGCCGTAATATTTTCCTTCCCCTCTTTTCCCTGCTATGCATCTCTGTCTGTACGTGTCGCACACAATACTTCTCTGTCTCTCGCCTTTTACCTTGTCCCCTTAGGCAAAGCAAATGCCTGAGCTTTATCAAATGCCGGGCGAATTTATCAAGGTCTGGCTGTACAGAGAGATTTGCTGCTGGTTTAAGATGAAGTGAATGTGCTCTTTTAAGGTAACCAAGTCAACCACAGTGCAGAGACTCATGTCTTTTCTCTTTAAAGTTCCCCCTCCTACCAACTCAGGTTTCACAGCACAGATCTCATAGATAGAACCCGCACATTAGCAAGATTAATGAAAGGAAGGGGTTCCTCTCTTGCACAATTAGTGTGCAGTGAGATTTGCAAGCCTCTTCTATGAGAAACTGTTATATTACGCCACAGCCATAGTGAGCTAATCTTAATTATCTGTATTTTGGGAATACTGGGGAAAAATATGGATTTTACAGACAGGAAACGTCCACCCTGGTCAGATTCGATTTGGTCTTGCAGTTCAATGGATGCTGCAGAGGGACTGACTTTGTACTTTCTGCATCACCCAGCATATGCTGTAGGAGAGGGGTTTTGTGAGAGTTGTGTGATGCTTTTGTGCCTGCAGTCTTCAACATGACGCCGACAAAATGCTGTATCTCACGTCAGTCAATCTTCATTTTACAGGGCCAGTTTTACCACAGCACTGTCTCGAAGCGAATGTAGGACAGTATAAAGGTACACTAGACCCATAGAAAAGCAGCAGGCAATAGATAATATGATAGATAATGATAGATAAAATCAGTGTCATGAAATCATCCTAGGCTATCATCTTGTCTGTGTAACGGCATAATTCACAATTTCTAGCAAGCATACATGCGTCACCAAATTCTTTAGACCAAATCTAGTTTGTGTGCAAGATACAATTAAATCCAATGTCTTCTGGATTTATTAATAATGTTATATAGAACAGTGGTCCCCAAAAGGTGTTCCTGGGCTCTCCTGGCTATGATCCTAAAAGCCCTTAAAAAATGAATTCATACCCCATGATAAGGAATATGCCATATCAGTATTTGCTCAGGAATCGGCTTTTCCTGTAATTTATGGTGCCGCCTTTAATGAGGATCTTTGTGGCCAGGAGTACTGATTTCAGCAGCTCGTTATTAATATCAATCAACGTTTTCATTCGGAGTGTTTGGGAGCCGCTCTTGGAAGAGGGTGTCCCCAGCCAGGAGCGAGCGGCCAGGCCTGGAGTAGCAGACAGAGCGCGGCCAACGCCTCACGTCTCCCCCGTCTCTCTCCCTCTCCTTCCTGTCCTCCCAGCGAAGCCCGGAGATGAGCTGAAGGTGGAGCAGGGGGTGAAGGACCTACGCTCCCTCAGCCTGCCCAACATGAAGCCCTCCTCCGGGCACAACCCCTACATCCTCACCCCTGGGTGCGAGAGAGTGGAACATGGCTCCCTGGGGCGCAGGGACAACGTGGATTTGCTGGTTAGTGGGTCTGATTTTCTCTTCCGTCTGCGGGCACTCGTTCCTGCTTTCACCTTTCATTTGATCCGTTTCTTTCACACCGCATTTACACATGAACGGCCCTGGAAAACGATCTCTTGTCACTTCTAGGAAATGCAAAACGCACTGTAGATTACTTTCTGACTGCTATGCCAACTCTTCTCCTGTGGGTGTCAGTCTTCTTAACACATTATTTCTCATCGGACCTCGCCACGCAAGGCTGGGTCTTCAGTAGCCGAACTGGTAGCCCACAGCCCTGCTGTATGCGTATCGTGTCTTCTCCTTTTAGTGTCTGGTATTGTGTCACATGCATGACAACCGTGCACTCAGGCTGCATCTGCCAAGTCCTGTGTCAGTGAGGCAGGGGCTTGTAAGTGTGCCTTCTGTTCCACCGTGTAACCAATCCAAACTGGTCTCCAAATGCATCAGTAGAAGAACTGGGGCTGCAGGTCAGGAGTCTGGGACTGTGTGGCCTAGAGCCATCCTTCCTCTTCTGTGGTTGTCTTCCACAGGAGTGTGTGTGTGTGCCTGTGGCTTTCCAGGGAGGAAAGGGCGATGGTTCAGCCGTTGAAAGTGTTTCTTAGACACGCCGTGAACAAGGCGGATCTCCGTGGCGTGGTGTGGGAGAGCGTGTCTGGGCCGAATCCGGCGGAGATCAGATTAAGCGCGACTGGTTCGCGTGTGAAGCCTGCATGGCGCTGATCCTAGGGGCCGTAGCCAGGCGTGAACACAGCTGTGCTGTTGCTGCAATCTGGGCAGCGCTCAGTGCTTTGGAGGGGAAACCACACGGCTCGGCGGCTCTGTGTGGGCACGGATTAGGGACTGAGATGATTACAACTGTTACTGGCTTCTTTGCCGAGCTCTCTGGCTCGACCCCTGGGCTGTGGGCTTGTTTTTGTTTGTCTTCATTTTATTGCTTTTTATATGTGGTTTACAGTAAACCATGGATTTAATGGATTACTGGGGGGAAGGGTTTTTTGTTATTGCTGAATGTCCGTTAAATCGCAAAGTAATTTTTTTCAGCCCCAAACCATACTATTACAGTATATGAGGAAAAAATAGATCTGCTTTCTGGATCCTTTGACTTATTTTTTGCAGTTAACACAAAGCTAAAAAGTCAATAAGAATTGTTCCTGTGCCTTTTTATCATAAATAAACAAGTGCTTTATTGCATGTCATAAATATACTGTATACTAGTGTAAAATTCACTCAAGCGTAAAACACAAACAAAACCCATTGTAAGCAACTGAACTACCACTATAGGGCACTGTTGGTATTCCTGATTTTAAACCTCTGTAGTATTTATTTTTACCTTGATTTGTTATTTTTGTGCATTTTCCCATTATGTGGTGGCTCTCAGGAAAATCCAGTCATTCTGATTTTACAGAATGGATTCAAAAGATTAAATCTACTAGTCCATTAAACCTGATTATAGCAAAGCTTCATAAACTGAGGTTTAACTGTACTCGTTTCTCATAAAATAGGCCATTCGGTGCACGTGCCCCTGACTAAATCAGTGCAGGGGGGGATTAATTTTTGCAAAAGTGTAATGCTCTGAAACTGCAGTTACTGTATGCGCAGGTTGTTTAATAGTGGGATGTTAAGAGTCAACAGTATGTGGTGGATTTAAAGCATTTGAATGTGAACGACTCACATTTCAATGCCTTAAATGCCTTAAATCACAGTTAGTCACACTACAAAGTCTGATTTCAAGTGACGTCAACACTCTGAAGTTCAGTGGAGCACAAGCAGACTGATGAATGCTTCATGCTGCTTTTCCATGGTCAGAGTGACTTCAAATGGTTTTATGAGCCTTTCTTTAAATATTAACCATAGCATATGGTGGGAGAAGTAATTCAATTAATGGAGTTAAATTCAATTCAAGGTTCTTAAAATCTCAGGCATTGCCATGGAAGAATTTTTCAAATAAAAGGGTGCCTCACTGAAGCAAGTTATCATGGCAGCGTTGGTGCTTTGTGTTTCTGGGTGCAACAGTCAGGACTGGGTGCATTGATGTCATAAAACTAACAGTCCTCTGTCAGCTCAACGACCCCAAATGAGTCTGGCAGCTTTTTCCTGAAGACAGATGCTTCCCAAGTTCTATTTTCCATTGTGATCACATGTGCACAAAGTTGAAATGGCACCAGTGCAGTAAAAACTGTAATGTGTACGATGTGGTCCTGTCAAGTGCATTTGAATACGTTTTAAGTTGACCTAGATTTAATGTTCTGGCACTAAAATGCACTAGATCTAAATATGACGTAACGCTGTACCCTTTTCTTCTAATTTGTGTTTTGTCTCTCCCTCCTTTTATTTGACGTTTCAGTTTCTATTTGAAGGCGTTTCACTGGAAAGAGGATGACACCTGTGTGTCAGAGCGGATGTGCTCTGAGGTGTTTTTCCATGATGGAGCGCTGATGTAAGCCCTTGTTTCTGCAGAAGAGGGGGGTCTGTAGTTTTCCCGTGACGCGTCTTAAGGAGGATAGAGCTCCTGACGGGACAGGCAGAGGGGAATGACTCAGTAGTGCTCACTCCCTGCCCCCAGGCCGCACAGAACAGACACACAAGCCTTGATTCACACCTGTCTGCCGCAAATTGGTCAGAGCACCAGAAACCCAGCCTGCTCTTCTCATTGCATATGAGAATACACTGCTTCTGTGTCAAAAATAGCTCATGACACAGACAACTCTCTATTGTGATCCAGACCTTGGATTCATGGTTATATGTTTTTTCTTGCTCAGAAAATCCACCAGGATTGACAGAGAATAGGAGTATTTATGAAGGAAATAATTGGTTTCTGTTTTTCTCCTCTGTGAGATCTTTTTCTCAGTTGTACCGAGAAGGTCGTTGAGCTTCAGAGAAACACTTTTATGGTGTTGTGGACATGTCTGTATCTGGAGAACCATCTAGGCTGGTTATCCAGTGCTTTGTTATCAACTTCTGTGCGGTAGGGGATATAGCTCTGGACGTGTACCTGGAGGGTTGCAGGTTCAAATCCCAGGTGGTGCATTGCTATAGTACCCTTGAGCAACGTGTACGCACTTTAGATTGCATCAGTAAAAATGCACAGCTGTCCAAATAGGTATAAATGTTAGTCATTTTGGGGGAAAGTGTCAGTCAGACAAATTAATAATAATTGCTAGGCTGCAGAGAAACCTTTTGACCTCTGTCCTCTGTCTAAACAATCAGTGGGTCTGTGGCTGGTCGGAATTTCAGACAGCGTTACGTCAGCATTTCTAAAAAGGCAGCAGTTTCTGTGAGGTTTTGTTCTGCACATGTGGCTGTATCAGTGCCCAGAATGGGACGGGCTTTGCCGAAGTGTGTGTCTGTGTGCTTTTTCCTCGGCAGCACTGGGGCAGGCACAGCTGGAGAGAGATTCCCCTGAGAGCGAAGTCCAACAGGGCTAGGACAGGCCTGTATTTTTGTGACTTTACTTCCTCGTACTGTTGCCCACTGATCCTGTGCTGGGATTGTTCTGCACTGTTGGATCTCTCTGGGAATTCCCCTTGAGAATGAGTGGTTTGGGGAAAAAACGGGATAAGGTGGAAGAAATGAGCCCTTTTTCTATTGTTTGTGTGTCAAAGAGCAGCCCTGTGGTTTGTTTTAGACACTGTTGCCCAAAGGTTAACAAACACACAATAACAGATTTCACAAAAACCCCTAAATAGATTGCCATGCAGATTATGGTAGAGGTAGTCTGTCATATGAATTTACACGGACATGACTGGCCTTGATTTCGGTGATGAAATGAGAAACCGCAGAAAATAAGCACTGATTTTTATTCGCCAAATATATGTGGAATGGGAGACAGTCATGGAGGACGATTATAAATACCGAGTACATACACGTCTTCTTCGGCACTCAGTTGTGTGGCTTGACTGACCCGTGCCTAAACAGAGACGTGATCACCACCCGATTTTCCCTTGTGCTGCACACACACGTGTGCACATTGCCCACACGCACAAGATTGCATATAACCTGAGCAAAAACATCTGCGTTTGAAGAAATAAACTACAAGGAAACACCCGAGGACACCAACTGCCTTAATTCTGGTGACAAAGGAGACAGTACTGGAACTGGCAATCATATCAGAAAAACGGCATTACGTCCTTGAATGAATTCCATTGTGTTCTGCCCGGAATGGGTTATACCATGCAAAAGGCTTATATAATGCACTGATAACGTCAGTTATCTGTGAGCCTGGTCAGAGATAAGGCCCGTTCTGAGCTCTAGCTTTGCAAGCTGTGTGGCACACAAGGACACCGGCGAGGGCTGGCGTGCAGCGCGGCCAGTCTGGGCCGGCGCCAAGTGGTCTTCGCTCTCGCGGGACGCGGCAGCCTGGAAGCGCTGGGGTCAAAGGTTGCAGCGGCTGCCTGCAGGTGTGTTGTGTTGTGCGCACGCACGCACTGGGGGGGGGGGTGCCACTCGCTGGAGGAGATCGGAACAGACACTCGAAGAGCGGAGCGCCCAGCCCGCTGGAGGACGACGAGGAGCGACTGGGAAGTGGTTTGCGCGTTCCGACCAGCGCCGTGCTAGCGATGGGGACTGTGGCTCCAGAGGGAGAGAGGCAAAAAATCAGGAGAGCTCTGGGAGAAGAAAGAGGAGGGACGCCCCCTTGTCCTGCTGTTTTTTCGTCCAGGAGCTCTCACGTCTGTTTTTTGAGGTTTTATTTCACCTTTGCTCAAGGCCACCGCTTGTGATAAAACACCTCTAAACTGGAATTCCAAAACCTGTGGATGTAGTTTTTTCGTAGGGTGGGAAGCTGTCTGTCTTTCTTCTCTTGTGCACCCTCAGCTCTTAGGGTGTTACTATTCGAAGCGTGCGCTTAAAGTAATAATTACTGTGGCGTTGATCCTGATAAAAGAAAATAACACGCACATTCCAGAAGCAAACCTGGAGAGAGTTATTTTTAATTTCATTAATGAGCGAATCTAATTTTCTTTCAACTCCAAACCCACAGCTGTAGGAACAACAAGGTGATT